TAAATTCGTTTCCTGGTATATTGAAGAAAAATACAAACAGGTCTTGCAGCTGCCATGAGCAATAATGCCACCCCCTATCATCAGAAATTGCAATTCTGCCACGTGTGGATGGAATTCAGGACCAACTGATGGCCGGCCAGCACCCCGGGTCTGGAAGGTTAAATTCCTTGCCAGCCTAGTTCAGCATCTTACAGGAAGAGCATAGAATTTTCTAAGGAATATGAGCATAATAGGAAGGTATCATTGACTCTGAATTAAATCTGAACCTGTACCCTGAAGAGCTACAGGATTTTGGAAGCTGAATCAATGTTATCACATGAATTAGAATCCAAACCAGAGCTTCTGGTACAGTTTGTTCAAAATACCTCCATCCCATTGAGACAGGGACTAGTAGAATCAGAAACTAAAGACATTACTTGCTTGTCACTCCTTCCGCTGACTGGGGCCTCAGAATGCAGTCGGCTAATGTTACCAGATGATACTTCAAATCATACTAACTCCTCTAAGGAGGTCACTTCTTCCGCAGTATTGAGAAGCCTTCAGGTAAATGTGGGCCCAGACGGAGAAGAGACAAGGGCTCAGACTGTACAGAAGTCCCCAGAGTTTTTATCCACTCCAGAGTCTCCGAGCTTGTTACAAGATCTACAGCCAAGTGATAGCCCTTCTTTTATTCTTCTTAATCTAACAAGAGCAGATCTGGGCTCTTCAGCTGAGCACTTAGTGTTTGTACAAGATGAAGCAGAGGATTCGAGGAACAATTTCCTCTCCAGTGAAAGCACAGACAGTAGCATTCCATGGTTCCTCCAAGTTCAGGAGTTGGCCCAAGACAGTTTGATTGCTGCTACTTGTGCACAGCTGGCAAAAAATGCAAAAACCAGCAGTAATGGAGAAAATGTCCACCTCGGTTCTGCTGATGGGCAACCCAAAGATTCTTGACCCCTTCCTCAAGTGGAGAAGAAGCTCAAGTATAGATGGGATGTGACTGGACATTTGGGTGGCCAGCTCACTTCAAGTACCACCTCAAAACTCATCAAAATGACTGCTCCTTCATCGGCCTTGCAGAAGGCTGTGGAAAAAGCTTCTATGTGTTGCAGAGACTGAAGGTGCACATGAGGACCCACAATAAGGGAGAAGCCCTTTATGTGCCCTGAGTCCAGTTGTGGTAAGCAGTTCACTACAGCTGGAAACCTCAAGAATCACCTGTGCATCTACACAGAAGAGAAACCTTTTCTTTGTAAAGCCCAAAGATGTGGCCATTCCTTTGCTGAATATTCTAGTCTCCAAAAATATCTGGTGGTTCACTCAGGAGAGAAGCCTCATCAGTGCCAAGTCTGTGGGAAGACCTTCTCTCAGAGTGGAAGCAGGAATGTGCACATGAGGAAGCATCACTTGCAGCTGGGGACAGCTGGGAGTCAAGAGCAGGAGCAAACTGCTGAGCCACTAATGGGCAGTAGATTGCTTGAAGAGGCTTCAGTACCCAGTAAAAACCTGGTATCTGGGCCAGAGATTTATTAGCTCAGTGGTTCTGGCCCCTGCCTCACAAGAGCAAGGTCCCAAGTTCGATCCCCGCTACCAAAAAAAAAAACAAAACCCTGGTATCTATGAATTCCCAACCCAGCCTTGGAGGAGAGTCCTTGAACCTGCCAAATACCATTTCCATCCTTGGAGTTGATGATGAGGTCCTTACTGAAGGATCCCCACGTCCCCTGTCTTCAGAGCCTGATGTAACACATCACTTGGTGACCATGCAGTCAGAGGCAGTCATACACAGTTTCTGTCTTAGCAGCCGTAAATCCACAGGAGTTATTAAACGAAGGAGATTTAACTGAAAGATGGACATGAGTTTAGGTGCTGACCTTCGAAGGAGCAGCTCTGTTTGATCCCAGAGTGCACAGTGGGTGCAGAACCCAAAGGCTCCAGACCTGCCAGAACCAAAATAAATCTGTGAAGGATGAAACCCCGCTTCTGCCTCCTCACTTCCCTGGCAGAGAACACGGGTGTGTGAGAGATTCTCTTCAGCCACCCTCTGATTCTGATAAGCGAAGCAGAGGCTGGGGCTTGGTGACTCTACCTGACTCTTCTCCCCGTGGAATTTTGGGACAGACTTCTCTTCCCAGAGGCAAATTGGGTTATGTGTTGGCTGAAGTTTTTTATGACAACTGTTGAAGGGGTTTTCCTTCAAAGAGTTTTCATCCCAGAGCCAGCTGTATGACCACGGGGATGGTCAGCATCCTATCAAACACAGAACTTCTCCTTGAGTTTTCAAGATGCCTTGTTGCTTTGAAGGAGGGAGTGATGTCAGTTGTTTTGCGGCGTTCTCCCTTCAGCAACCTGAGTGGGAGACTCCCAGCCATCGGGCTGCAAAAAAGAATTACTTGAATCTCCCGTGCCCCGCCGCTGAGGTTCTATCTTGTCTTGTACACCTCTGCTTAGTCACTTTGCTTTCTTTGTTGACGGAACACACAGTAGCATGTTAAGAGGGTTTTTTTAGTGGGTTTTTTTTAAAGTTAAAAATCATCTGATACAGAGCTTCAGTTTTCCCTTTAAATAAACAAAGCTGCCCAGTGAAAGAAATTGCAGTTCTAAGTGCAGCTTCTTTACACTGTTTCATTCGTTCAAGTTCCTGAACTTATTTTTAGACAAACTTATCCTGTTTCGTTGGGGACGAGCGGGCGCGTTCCATTTGTGTGAGCTTTAAAAGAGACAGCGACTGGGCATCATGGTGCACTTCTATAATCTCAGCACTCCAGGAGGCAGAGGCAGGAAGGTCCCGAGTCTAGTCTAGCCTGTGGAACTTAGCGACTTTCGAGACCCTGTCTCAAAATTAAAAAGAAAAAAAGGTTAGGTATATCACTTAAGTGCAAAAGCCCTCGTTCAATCCTGAGTTCTGCAGAAGGTAAAGGGGCAGTAGCAGAATATGGATTGTATGATGGACAAGAATTGACCCAATTCAGGTGATTCTTGTAGATAAAACTAGATAACATGAAGTTAAGAATCTGAATGCTGTTTCCATGACAAAGGTATGGACTGGACCTCAATGGCACAGAGGCCGCTCACAAGGGATCCAGCTAAGAAAGAGTGAAGCAAGGCCTGATATCTGCGCAGGCAGCCGGGCGGCCGCCTCCACAGAGCGGCGACTCAACAAAGCCGCCCTCATAGCACAGCCTTGACGTCATTCAAATCCAGGCTCCAATCCCGCCCGGTCGCGAGGTGACCCCGCCCCCAGCTCCTAGCGGCGCCCAGGTCACGCCCAGGGGCGGGCGGTGCCGACCTGAGGTGGGCTGTCTCAGTACAGCCGAGCAGCGGGGAAAGATGGCGGCCGCGGTTCCACAGCGGGCGTGGACCGTGGAGCAGCTGCGTAGCGAGCAGCTGCCCAAGAAGGACATAATCAGGTTTCTGCAGGAGCACGGTTCAGATTCGGTACCAGAAGCGGCTGGGCGGCCGGGCCGGTGCGGCTGCGGGACGCCCCTCCTCCCCCGGGATGCCCTACCTTCCGTATCCCCCCTCCCTCGTCCTCGCGGGGCCCGGCCTTTTCCCTGGGGCGCGCGGGCCCGGTCGCGAAATTAAAACCCCTGGGAGCCTGACGGGGGTGGAGGCGATGAGAAAAGGACCTCGGAGGTGTCGGGGGCCGAGGAGTGGGGTCTGGAGGCGACGCGAGCAGGGGAGGGGGCTCTGGGGACGAGGAGGGAGGCCCCACGGTCTGTGGGGAGGGCTTGCCTTTCTCACCGATTTACCAAAGACCGAACAGTAATCCGAGTGATTTTTTTCAAAATCCGGTGGATACTACTCCTTAAATGACCTTTTCGCGTTATGCTTACGGGGGCTGCGCGCGCGTTTCTCGGGGCGGCCCCCCATTGTTGTGAACGATCCGCTCGGAGATCCGCTTGTCACGCTGTGCGCGCCCGGCCTTTCTCTGCACGGTCTCCATCTTAGCCCCTCGTCGGTAGTCACACGTTATTTTTCAGACCTCTTTTGTCCTTTGGAAATGACATTCGTACCTCTCTTAATTGCTGAACTACTATGCACACAGCATCTTTCAACCTCCAGAAATGGAAGCTGCAGCCTGCATGTGGGTTCTCTATCGTTTCTTAAATTCTCTAGCATCAAATATTATTTCTGTAATTCTAAAATATCAAAATATTAATCATTTAAATGTGTTTTCTCCGAAGACCATTTACATACTTAGGTCAATATTGTATTGCTTTTAGCAGAATCGATCCTGGGTTGTTAGGGGACTGTATTTTGGTTTAGGAGGGTATTGAGGGGAGATAGAGGAACCTACAACTTCCAGTTCCTTACATATGCATAATTATCCTGGCATCCGCCTCTTAGACTAATGGAGCAAATATTTATACAAAATATCCAGCAAGAACTACGCTCAGTGTTTGGGGATACAAAGGAAAAAAAGACTATCCATCAGGATCTTCTACCATTTAATGGAATTGCTGTCTTAAACCAATATGTATTTTGCCTGAAATAATCGGTGTTCAACGCTTCAATGCTATATTTTATTAAATTTTTATGGAACAAATCATCCCAAAGTAGACTTTAATGTTAGACTGGCCAGAGTGGGACAACTTCAAAAGACTTGGGTTATAGCATTTTTTTTTAATAAAAATAATGCATATTCTCCAATGACCACTTAGTTAAACCTCTAGGCTGGGCTGGTATTTAGAATCCTCCTGTCTCAGCCTCCCACAGTGCAGAGATTACAAGCATGTGCCACTACATCCAGCTGCCATTCCTTATTGATCTTAAGATGTCAAAGAGATATTTATATTTCAGACATTTTCACAAAAGCTTGCTAAAAAAACTCGAGTACTGGGCCAGGGATTTTGCTCAGTGGCACCTTGCCTGCCTCGAAAGTGCAAGGACCTGAGTTCAATCCCCGGTACCAAAAAAAACCAACTTGAATACTAACTCTGCTGATTAATTTTATGTAATGAACTCCTGTATTCAATTGGCCTTTTTTTTTTTTTTGGTACCAGGGATCGAACTGCAGTCCTTGCGCCTGCACAGCAGGCAGTGAAACCACTGAGCTAAATCCCCAGGCCTCAACTGGCCTTTATAATTTAGAACACTTCTCTAAAAAGGGGAGGAAAAAAAGCAAAGAGGGTAAAATGCAATGCTAATAGTGTTAGAAAAACGTAGAAGCTGGGTACAGTGGCACACACCTGTGGTCAGTTACTCAGGATGGAGTGTCCCAAGTTCAAGGCCAGCCTGGGCAACTTTTCAAGACCCTATCCCAAAATTTTAAAAAAGTAAGGGCTAGGTTGTAACTTAGTGGCAGAGTGCTTGCTTGCCTGGCATTATCACAGCCCTGGGTTTAATCCCCAGTACCACAGATAAAAGAAAAATTGCTAGAAGATGGCAAAGGACAACTTTGATTTGAGAGTGACAAAATGAGTCCAGCAAGGACCACATGGCAGAGAAGGAAGCAGAACGACATAAAAGAAAAAAAAAAATCACTAAAATCCTCACATAATTTTGAGGTGAACATACGTAATAGTCTTTGGGCATCTGTCAACTTACAGTCTTATATTTGAGAGAAAAGGAATTATTTTACCTTGAATTATAAGTATGTTATTTTATTAATCAAAATAGCTAACATTAAGTTCTTGCTGTGACAGGCTCAATGCTAAATGCATTTTATCCTCACAGCAACACTTTGTTTTGTTTTGTTTGTTTGTTTTTTGAGACAGGGTCTCCCTATGTAGTTCAGACTGGCCTTGAACTCAGTGTGTAGCCCAGGCTGGCCTCGAACTTGGAGCAGCAATCCTCCTGCCTCAGCCTCCTGAGTGCTGGGACTACAGGTGTGCACCACCATACCCAGCCTACAGCAACACTTTGATATAGATGCTACTGTTAATCTTCGAGTACAGATTAGAAACTAAGTCTTTAAGAAAGCTGGGTCTGGTCTGGAGTGTAAGTATCCTCCTGGGCATGGCTGGAGGCTCCCAAGGCCAGTGCCCTGTAGCGCTCTGTCACAAGCAGCTGCCTCTGTCCTATTTGCTATGTGAATATTTCCTGTTGTTTTTTGTGAGTTCTGTGAAGGGAAAAGAGTTAGGAAAATCCACTGTTTCCCATACAAAATGGTATAGTTCTAAATGCCTTTTCTAAATTTATCATTTTGGTTTGATTTGGGGTTGTTTCTTTGTTTGTTGAGATGAGGTCCCACTCTGGTACCCAGACTGAACTCAGTCGGACTCCTGGGCTCAGTGCCATCCTCCTGCCTGACAATTCGAGGTAGCTGGGACCGCAGACACCACTGCCATGCATGGCTCCATTTTCTCATTTTAGAATCATCTTACTTGAGCTAAATGACTTTGACTGACCAGTATTTTTTCCTTATAGTTTCTTGCAGAGCATAAATTATTAGGAAACATTAAAAATGTAGCTAAGACAGCTAATAAGGATCACTTGGTTATGGCCTATAACCATCTTTTTGAAACTAAGGTAAGTATTGTTACATTCTATTAGCAGAATCTCATTTCTGAAAATTTATTTCTAAAAGAAGTTTTAAATGGGGCCGGGGATTTAGCTCAGTGGTTCTGCCACCTGCCTTGCAAGCGAAAAGTCTCGAGTTCAATCCCCAGTACCAAAAAAAAAAAAAAAGAAATTTTAAATGCATGTATTTGTAGGAAAAGTTGAAATTTTTCTCCCTGCAGTTTTCCCCCTTTTTTTTTTTTTCCTTTTGGTACCGGGGATCGAACTTGGGTCCTTGCGCTTGTGAGGCAGGCGGTAGAACCACTGAGCTAATCCCCAGCCCTCCCTTTTTTTTGTTTTTTTGGTACCAGGATTGAAATCAGGACCTTGCACTTGCAAGGCAGGTGCGATGCCACGCAGCTAAATTCCTGGCTCCCTGCAGATTTTCTTAATCATAATTGGACCAGCTTTGAAATTTAGTAGGGCTAATCTGCAGTATAGCAGAATGTTTAGGTATTTCGAAAGGGGACATTTTAAAAAATAATTTCCTAGTAGCTTAAACAGACAACAAATTCTTAGGTTATATATAAATCCCTTAGGTCAGTTGGTAATTACCATGTTAGTTCTGCATGTAAAATCTTACATGGAGAAAATAAGTTCCATTTAATTAAAGAATTTAAAGACTGAGACTTAAGCTGGGCCTTTAGAAAAACTTTAGGAAGTTCTGCAATATTTATTCACTATGAAGTGTTCATCTTCCACACAAAAGAATCTTTAAGATATTTTAATAGTATTCATATAAGCTGCTAAGGATCATAATTTATTGATTAAAATGCTTATAAGTCTCTTACTTGGTTCTTACAGTTTCTTGGGAGATTTATTTTCTATAACTATATTCATTGTGCAGATGTGCATTTGAGAGGCTGAAAATCTGGCTCTCCCTAATTTTTAGCCTGTCCTGAATGTTGATGCTGGATTGTTTTTCACAGCGTTTCAAAGGTACTGAAAGTGTAAGCAAAGTGACTGAGCAAGTGAAAAATGTGAAGCTTAATGAAGAAAAGCCCAAGGAAACCAAGACTGAAGAGACTCTGGATGAGGTCTGTATGGTTTTTTACAATTATTATTACTTGTGAATTTAGTATTTGCATTACAACACAAATTTCTCAAAGTGAGGGATGGTTGAATACGGTCATTTGCGGTGAGCCAAAATGATCAGAGTGTGCCACCTCCCCTAGGTGTCTGCCAGTAGATGAAGCCACAGGACTAGTTCTTTACCGTTAGTGGCCTATCCTGTGAAATACTTCTGACTTTGTATTTAGTATCACCTTCACGTCTGGCCAGACCTTCTGAACTCTCAAAACTATTTTAGGGACCTGATTCTATAGCCAAGTTGGACTGAGTGGCAGGAACTTGCTTTTTAATTATATTTAGCTTTTTCTGATGTCCATAGTGTCCTTGCCAATAGAAATAGTCCAAGCTTGGCACAACTTTCCCAACCAGGGTTTTATATTTTGGTACCAAGGTTTGAAGAACCAGATACAATCATTTTTCTAGCTGGAAAGCCTTGGAGCTAAGAACAGCATTAGCAGACCTGAGTTGTTTTTAATCTTGACATTTCTCTTAGCGCGTTGCCAACTAAGCACACTGATAGCAGTCTTAGTATTGGCAACTATAATCTATTTTTAGTTCTTTCAAAGGGATGTAGCCTTTAGTTCTTTTATTTTTTTAATATCTCAATTTTATTTGGTGGGGGTTTTTTGGTGTTTTTGAGACAGGGTCTCGCTATCTAGTTCAGACTGGGTTTGAACTCACTCTGTGGCCCAGGCTGGTCTTGAACTCCTGGCAATCCTCCTGCCTCAGCCTCCCAACTGCAAGGGCTACAGGCATGTACCATTGCACCTAGCAGTTCTTTTAGTTGCTTTTTTTTTTTTTTGGTCCCGGGGATCGAACTCAGGACCTTGCATTTTCAAGACAGGAGACAGAACCACTGAACTAAATCCTCAGCCCCAGCTGGCAGTTCTTTTAAAGAGATGTACTACTTGGGTATTTGTGGATAAAGTATATACAATTACAGATGTTTATATGATTGAAGCTAGTTAATTTTGCATGATGTTTTCCTGTTGGTTGCAAAGCACGAGTTAATGTTATACTCACAAAGCATTCTGAGGTTTATCATAACTAAAGTCTGTTAAATGTATCTGTTGAGCACCTACTAAGGTAAATACAGCTGTGATTACTAAAGGGTGTCAAAAACAGTTGACATAGTTATCTAGAAAATTACAGTGAAGGTGCTCTTAGGTGTCAGATGATAAATATGTACATGGCAAGTTCTTAAAGGACAAGAAAATCTAGAGCAATCTTGTGAGAGTCCTAAACTGTATCATTGTCTCTTAAGACAATAACTATAGCCATTCCCTTCTTTGCAGCTTAAAATCTTAGTGAATCCTTGACCCTCTTTTTCCTTTGCATGTCTCCTATAGAACTGATCCTCCATTTCCTCCCCTTCCCTTTCCCCCTCCCCTTCCCTGGCCAACTTGAGCTCAGTGCTATCACTGCCTTCTTAGATTCCATAGCCTTGTCCAATCCCTTACTGATGATCCCTGCTATAGGAAGCATTGTGAAGAAATACATAATTAGACGGTTTATTAGGCTTTGCATAAATTCATACTAAATGTTTTCTAGTTTCACTGCTACTCAGCAGTATTTATGCTATCTCTTGCTCAGTTCTCCATTTCACTGCCAACATGAATTAAGGTTTATGTACCGCATTCTCAGTCCCTTGTTACTCTTTTCTTACCATAAATTTCTTGTTTTGTTTTACCAGAATGTAAATGTCTGCAATCATAACCATGTTCTTCCTTTCTTCCTGGCATCAGTGTTTAGCCTTCTTATGTCCCCTTTAAGACTGTTGTTCTCAAATATATCCTTTTTCAAATCTTCCTTTTTTTTTTCTTTTACGTTTATTTGTTTACTTGGGTTTTTTTTTTTTTTTTGGTACCGGGGATCAAACTCAGGAATTTGTGCTTGCAAGGCAGGCGTTCGAACCACTGAGCTAAATCCCCGGCTACTTGGGGTTTTTTAGACTAGGTCCCATTGTAGTTGAGGATGGTCATGACCTCACTATGTAGCCCAGGCTGGCCTCGAACTTAGGGCAGCCATCCTTCTGCCTCAGCCTTCCAATTGCTGGGATTACAGGCATGTACTAGCATGCTCAGCCTGTTTGCATTTTGAAACATTTAAAGGCCTCAGAAGGTGTTGGAAAAGTTGCTGCCTCCGTTCTATTCAATGCATTTAGCCCAATAATAACCAAGAACTTTGCAAACTACGCCCCATTCAACACAACAATCTTCAGTCTAGAAATTCTCTGCTGTCTAAAATTGCTTGTGAACATGTGGTACTGGAAATTGAACCAAAGCCCTCATATAGGCACTGAGCTATACTCACAATCTTTATTTTTCATTTTGATTTTGAGGTAGCGTCTCACTAAGTTGCCCAGGGTGACCTCTAACTTGAAATTTTCGTGCCTCAGCATCCCAAGTAGCTAGGATTACAGGTGTGGGCCACTTAGAACTACATTATTTAATAGGTAGTCACTAGCTTTGTTTGCTTCCTATCACTGACAGAATACACGGGATAAACAACTCACTAGGAAAGGTTTCTTCTGGCTCAGTTTTGGGGGTTTCAGCCCATGGACACTTGGCCTACTGCTTTTGGGTCCCTGGCAGGGCAGCGCATCGAGGTGGGAGTACATGGTGCAGGTGGAGGAAGACTTCAGAACCTTGTGGCAGCAATGAGGAAAGGAGAAACTGGAAGGCTCTGAGGTTCCACAATCCCTTTCAAGGACATTTCCCCAGTAACCTAGCTTCCACTGGTCCCCACCTCCTAAAGGTTCCACCACCTCCAGTAGACTACAGGCTGAGCCTGGAGCCTTCACCACACAGGCCTTTGGGGGACATTCAAGAACCAAAATGAGGGCCGGGGATTTAGCTCAGTGGTTCCTGCGCTTGCCTTGCAAGCACAAGGTCCCAAGTTCGATCCCCGGTACCAAAAAAAAAAAAACCCAAAATGAAACAGCTAAATGTGGCTCATTCAAATTGATTTGATCATTTAAATTACTTTAGTAAGTACCCAGGCTATGAAAACTAGATTTTGCTTTAGGGAAGCAGCCTGGCTTCAGTTGAAAGTATTAATCCTAAGGCTCTGAATTGGATAGGGCTGTTTGCTTGATCCACACCTTTCCGACTTGCACCCAAACAAAAGCATTTGGCAAAATTCTGTTTTTGTTTTGTTTTGGTTTTTTTTGTACCGGGGATCAAACTTTGGGACCTTGTGCTTGCAAGGCAGGGGGCAGAACCACTGAGCTAAATCCCTGGCCCAGCAAAATTCTGTTTTTGTTTGCAAATGCTACATTGCGTGACAAACACAACCGTGGCCATCTTTTCCAAAATCATGGAACAAATTAAGTTTGTGAAATGAGGCACCACTGTAATTTGGGAGGCTGAGGTAAGAGAATCTCAAATTCTAGCCCAGTCTGGGCAACTTAGTGACTTAATGAGACCATCTCAAAATTTTTAAAAGGGCTGGGGAATGTAGCTCAAGGTGAAGGTCCTGGGTTCAACCCTTAGTACCTCCAAATAAATAAAACCATTGATTATATTATCCTTTTGGGTTTTTGTTAAAGACCTTCATAATCCTTTTTCCCTTGCTAGGGCATATGGTTGTTTTCAGAATTTTGATAGGTAGTTTTGTTGTTTGAACTTATTTTCAAGTTCAGGGCCAGAAACAATATTGCTGAATTCATCTTAATTGGATATAATGAAATAATCTAGAAACACCAATTATTGCTTCTAAAACAACCCAGATCTTTGGGGAAAAGTCACTTTAATTTAGGAATTTAATAGTAATGAGTTTTGTTTGTTTTTGGTACTGGGGATCAAACTTGGGACCTTGTGCTTAACAGACTCTTGCATGAGAATTTTTGGCTTCCAAAGATGCTAGAGGTTATCTGAAATTAAATTACAGATGTGTAAGTTACTAATATTCTCATCAGTCTTGAGAATAGTGAGTTTAGTTCACAGAAGTTGACTAGAAGTAAAATAAGTATTCTTTGCCATCATTCTAAATGAACCTTTATGTACACTGATTTTGATCTTAGGGTCCACCAAAATACACAAAATCTATTCTGAAAAAGGGAGATAAAACCAACTTTCCCAAAAAGGGAGATGTTGTTCACTGCTGGTACACAGGAACGCTACAGGATGGGACAGTTTTTGATACTAATATTCAAACAAGTAAGTCATAATCTTTTTTTTCTTCCTTTTCTTTTTTTTTTATTTTTCATTTTATTTGTTTGGCTTAAGATGTAAAACTATACACAGGTGAGTAATTGGCATACCTTTTCTTGGTTATCACTTACTATTTTGTTTTGGTTTTTCTTTCCATAGTAGTGGGGACTGAACCCAGAGGGGCTCTATCTCCAGGCAGCAACCCTTTGGTTTTTGTTGGAGAGGTTTTTGGTGTTTTGTTTTCAAGGCAGGATGTCACTAAGTTGCCCAGGCTGGCCTCGAATTTGAGATCCTATCTCAGCCTCCAGATTACAAGCATGCTCCACCCTGCCCACTCTTTCAGTTCATTCTCCTCCCCTCTAACAGAGCACCTGAGACTGGGTCATTTGTAAGAAGGGTTACTTGGCTCCTGCTTACAGCCTGGGGCAGGCTCTGCTCAGCTTCTGGTGAGGCCACACGCTGTTCCATGCACAGTGGAAAGGTAGAAAAAGAAGCGGGCAGGAGCCACATCAAAGTGAGTCACGTGTGAGAGCAAGGGCGGAGCCCCAGGCTTGCTTGTATTAACAATCCTTTCTTGCAATAGCCAATCCAGTCTCAAAATCGAGAACTCATTGAGAAAAACATGAATCCCTCTTAGCTACTTGGTCACCTCTCATGGGACCAAGCCTCAACATGAATTGCAGTAGAGAAAAACCATACTGAAACCATAGCAGTGTCCCAACGTGATGCTTTTCAATGTAAAAGGCAAAACAGTTTGCTGTCCTGGGGTATGAGAATGGGTCCTAGTCCCCTACCTTCATTTAGACTTTTACATCTAGAATTTTCCTGATTGAACATAACCTGGTTTTCTAAAGTTTTGTTCTCAAATACATAGTATTACAGAAGTAAATTTTTTAAAACTTTCCACCAGGTGTACTGGTGCATGTCTATAATCCTAGCACTTGGGAGGCTGCCGCAGGAGGATCACCACAAGTTCATGGCCAGCCTGCTACATAGTGAGTTCAAGGTCAGCTTGAGCTACAAAGTGAGACCTATTTCAAAAAACAAAGCAAAACAGTTTTCTCAGGTTTTTTTTACTAATTTCTTAATACTCAGGTTGTTTTTACTAATTTAATAGAAACTAGACTGTATCTTTAATTATTAGGAAAATCTGTTTTACAGGTTCAAAGAAGAAGAAAAATGCCAAGCCTTTAAGTTTTAAGGTTGGAGTGGGCAAAGTTATCAGAGGAGTAAGTAAAGAATGGCAGTAAATGAGTGGACATTCTAGCACATGCTATTGTGGTATAGTGCTATAAAGAATTACAGTTGGGGGCCAGGGATTTAGCTCAGTGGCGCTGCACCTACCTGGCAAGTGCAAGGTCCTGAGTTCGATCCCCAGTACTGGGGGAGAAAAATTACAATTGGGGTGCCGGGCATGTTGGCGCACGCCTGTAATCCCAGCACTTGGGAGGCTGAGGCCAGCGTGTACTACATTGAGTTCAAGGCCAGTCTGACCTACATAGCAAGACCCTGTCTCAAAAAAAATTACAGTTGGGAATATGATAAGAACAATCTTTGAAGTTGGACAGATTGGGTACTATCATTGCTAGCTGATCTGGCACAAGCTGCGGGTCTCCTTTTCCCCATCGATAAAAGAAGAGTATTGTGTAGCTCAGGGTTGTTAACAATTAAGTGAGCTTAAGTCAAAGCATTAACAGTAGGGGACTCATATTAGTTTTCTAGTCTAACCCTTTCGTTAATTATTTTTCTTCATAAGATACTGTAATTCTTTGTTAAAATGTTTGGCCTTTTTTGTCTGTAAGATTCTTGTGCTACGTAGCTGTCATACAACTTATATGTAATCAGAAAAGGTAAAATGCTTGTTCCACTTCACTACTTGTAAAAGCAGGAGTTTCTGTAAAAAATTTTAAAACCTAAGCATGTTTTACCTACTCAAATGAAAGAGATAACAGAAGGCAACTTTGAAAAAAGAAATCTGGCTTGAGCTGTAATGACCATTAACAGGACAGGAAGTCAGCATCCCTAAGACATATTTCCATGCTAGGTCCTACTCACTGTTCATTTTAAACTGTAATTACTCAAAACACCAAACATTGATGACTGAAATGCCTATTTAATTGCAGTTATAAGAATTCTCATTGTGAGTGGGGCTTAAGACAAGTCTCACTATGTAGCCCAAGCTGGGCTCAAATTCACGGAGATCCTCCCCCCTCAGCCTCCTGAGTGCTTCAATTACAGGTGTGTGCCACCGCACCTAGCAAGAATTCTTAATATATCACTGTTTGCATTCTAAGTCCTAAGGTGGAGTTCAGTCATATCCAGAGGTGAAAATAGAATATAAAACATCTTGTAAAATGTTTAGTAGAATGTGACTTTTAACTGTTACCTACTTATACAAAGTTGATAGCAACTATAAATTGAGCAATTTTTCTAGTTCTGTTAAATACCTACTGGTACATTTCTTCTAGTTCACCATATTCTTAGTTTCCAAATGTGTTAGAAAGCGACTCTAGTGTATTTGTATTATGTTGATATAACTGGACAACTGGATTTAATATCCAAATTTTAAACTGAAGAGGCAACCTGGAAAACTTCTTAATTTCTTTAAAAGGAAAGATGGTTTTGCCTTCTGCAAAAGATCTTAGTTCTCTAACAGGACAACATGCTACTGTTAAAACAGTTTTAGAGTAGTTGCTAGTTTATCCCTATAAAAATGAATGCTTCAATTTGTCCTATGGTGTAAAAGTGTAGCAAGTTTTTTATAAAGGTCTAACAACAAACTGATTTCCATACATATGGCATGCTACAGTTTACTAAAGTGCTTTTACATATCATTTAAGGAGTGTTATCACATTGAAAAATATTAATATAACAATTTTTTATTGAGGAAGTTCAAGACAAGATTTATGGACTCAATCAAGGATTATTACCTTAGAACATAATAAAATTCAGTGAAGGGCTGGGGATTTAGCTCAGTGGTTCTGGCGCCTGCCTCACAAGCGCAAGGTCCTGAGCCGAGGACTTAGCTTAGTGGTTTCACCGCCTGCTGCGCAAGCGCAAGGACCCGAGTTCGATCTCCGGTACCAAAAAAAAAGGAAGAAAAGAAAAATCCAGTGACAGTGCTTAATATGTGCACGCACGGACACATAACATGTTTTTGTTTTCTGCTCTTTTTACTTTTTTTTTTAATGCTCTGCTCTGGACTTTAGTGGGATGAAGCACTCTTGACTATGAGTAAAGGTGAAAAAGCTCGACTAGAGATTGAACCAGAATGGGCCTATGGAAAGAAAGGACAGCCTGATGCCAAGTATCCTTTTTCTCCTTCATAATTAAAGGAAAAAAACATGAAAGGAAGATCAGCTGAAGGTGTTTAGAAAGGTGCTATCTAGGCTAGCCTTCCAGATCAGGTATTGTGTCAGTGTCAGCCCATCCAATACAGATGCGTGCGTGCGTGCGTGTGTGTGTGTGTTGAAATCTTGCTACACTGCCCAGTGTGTGTGCGTATGTATGTGTGTGAGTATGTATGTGTGTGATGAAATCTTGCTATATTGCCCAGGCCAACTTCAAACCCCTGTGCTCAACTGATCTTTCTACCTCAGGTTCCCAATGCCACTATGCCTGGCAGAGAATACTTAGTATCTCACGTTGGTACAAAGTATTCAGACTTCAAGACCAGCCTGAGCTACATAGTGAGTTCAAGGATAGCCTGAGCTAATATCAAGACCTTGTCTCAAAAAGCTAAAAAAAAAAAAAGTATTCAAACTTGAGGTAGATTTTTTTTTCTCTTACTCAAGTTCTCAATTTTTGAGATCTTAACTGCAGAGTTCAAGCTTTCATCATTGAAATACAATTCTTAATATATGCAGGGTTTACTCCAGTAAGTTACAACACCCAATGTAAAAAATAAGCAGTAGGGTACCAATACAGCTCATGGTAATTTTAAACTACAGTATAATTTATGGCAGTCGAGTAAGCAAAGCTTAGAAATAGAACACACAATAGGGATTGCCAGCTGTGAAATGGAGACCACAGGACCATGTATATAGTGTTAATAAGTATTAATACTAATGACAGTACTTCTCTGAAAGGCCCAGTTTCTGAACATTTTTAAAAAGTAATGATGCCAGACCATTCAGGCCAGACCAAGCCAGTAGGTAAATGGGAAGGCAATTTATAGCTGTTGTCAGTTCCATTCCTGTTTGCCAAGTTAAAAGTGGGGGTTTTTTGGGGGGGGGGGTTAGAAATTGCTGTAGTCTCCTAACAGTTAAACTTATTTGAAAATAGTTCTCATCCTATCAAAACCAGATGGACAGCTGCAGCTACCTCTCTCCCATGGGTGTAACACTTTAAGAACAGTCTGGTGTGCATAAAAATCTCTGAATTTAGCATCTTTAAATTCATAGTAAATATGTACTAACTTCTTAAAAATTTCAATTTTAATGCAGCATACACAGCAAACTGAAATCACTTTTTTTCCTTTTTGAGTACTGAGTAGCAGCCTCCATAAAGTGGTGACTAATTGAGGACATCATAGCTGAAGCTCAGCTGACCTGGTCAGCCTACATTGACAGGTTATGCTTTCTACTTGCCATTAAAGATACTCTTAAGGGGCTGGGGATTTAGCTCAGTGGTTTCGTCACCTGCTGCGCAAGCGCAAGGACCCAAGTTCAATCCCCGGTACCAAAAAAAAGATACTCTTTTTGTCCCCAAGTATGTATTATGTTCTGAATCAATTACAGAGCTCTTCATTTTGGGGCTAATTACTAATGTTCAGAATACATAATTCTAATTTTATGGTAATGAGGGCAGGGGAGGGATACTTTTTATCAAATTTGCCTTGACTTTTTCAACAGAATTCCACCAAATGCAAAACTCGTTTTTGAAGTAGAATTAGTGGATATTGATTGAAACAGTATTTCAGATCTGAAGACATCAGAAAGTGATTAAAACTTGGCCTTGAAACTTAGGTATCATCAACTGGAAAATTCAGAATTAAGTTAAATTTACTTGATCCCAATTTTTGAGAAATGTAACCCCTTATAAGTCCCTGAAGTCTAAAATATTTTACTATAGCTGTGTGAAATACTGGTTAAGGAGAACTGTATTTCTTTTTACCTCATGTTGTAAAACTGAAAAGTTCAATTAAAAAAATATCCACTGTCTTGATATGTGTTTGATGTTAATGTTCTGATTAGGTAAGCGTAAGAAGGACTACTAACATCCAACCAGGGAAGTACAGTAACTAATAACCCAGAATGTTTAAATAATCTGGAATGGTAAAAAGTCAGAACTTGAACCAGAAAGTTTAAAAGGGCTAACAACTTGGCAGGAAGGTAATTAAATTTAGGGAACATCTGCTTCTAAATCGGTGAATCACTAACAGTGTTAAATAGAAAGTTAACATTAGGTGATTCCCCCAAAATACATTCATAAAACAACTACTGGATGAATCTTCAGTTTTATTACAAAAATGAAGATGATCAGTTTGATCAAAATGAAAGCTTGCTCACAAGTTTTACACGGATATTCTAAATACAAAGTCTCCTGGAACGACATACTTTAGATATGATTTTCAGTTAAAGGGATGCAAACATTATATTTTCTCATTTATAATCTATCCCAAGGCATAGTATCTTAGTGTATCTTTTCTGCAGTTAGATCCAAATTCACAAGTATAACTGAAACACTTGAGACAACCTTGTCAGCAAAGATTAAAAATCACTGTTTTTACAGAAGAGGTAAATCCTTAGCCAGCCCTTGTGTTTCCAGAATGTACTACACTGACGTGATTGGCAGTCAGTTTTTTTCCTACACTTAAGGTTACAAAACTTTTGCAAATCCATTGCAAAAGAATTCTAGACCACTTAATGCAAAAAATAAAAAAAATAGTTCTCCAATAAAAAGTAAATTTTATAAATGGTAGGAAATATTATCTGTGGTAAGATACTGACATTTTCCCCTAATAAATGTTACACAGAAACAGGGAAGACAAGTTATCAAATACAACAAGCTTATGCTATGTTTACATCCCTTCTTTAAAAAATAATAATTTCATACTTTTCACATACTCCATCTGAAATTTACATTCTCTCATCAGGTTGGAGGGGGAGGATAATACTGTCCATAATTCCAAGGATTCTGATAATTGTACTGTAAAGAAAAAGTAAACATTAGTAGAACTACTGCTAAGTTTCAAATATGAAAATTAAAGCAACTATATTTAAGAAAACAAGCATGTGTTCATTGCTGCAACTCAAAGACTTAACTGTATGACACAGTCGTACAAAGCCAAAGGGTTGTTTTTACTTTTAGAAGTGTCTCCAATATGCTTCTAATAAAATCTAGGAACAAAGAATTATGTGGACTCACTTGGTACCAGGCACTATAATTATATGCAGCTTGATTTGCTTGTAAGTCACCATCAATCATCTGTGTAGATGATGAAGTTGTGTCTTCTGTGTGTACTTTCTTTTCTTCTGGTTCTTCCGATCTATGTAAAAGGTCAAAATGGAAACTATGAGGACTTCCACAGATAAGAACTTTATTACATGACTATCAACCAACTTGTGTACATTATTTTATAAACATTTGTTTACTTTTGGTGGTGGAGAAGGCGATCCTGCCAGAAGCAGAATTTAAGAGAAGCAAAAGTAATGGACCAGGGCCGGGGATTTAGCTCAGAGGTTTCACCACCTGCTGTGCAAGCGCAAGCACCCGAGTTTGATTCCCCTCCCCGCAAAAAAAGTAATGGACCAGAAGGCGCTTAGTGACAATCGTATAGCTGGACAAATTCTGGGTGACAGGCCAAAAGCTAAATTCAACAGTTTACCTTTCTTTTACAAAGCAGTATCCCTCAAAATCACTTATGCAAAGACGTTTCCCTGTATCTTTGCTCCACAATGCATGTAACCTCTCCAACACACTCAGAATAGCAGTGTAGACTGTCTGCCCCAGGCACAGATCAGACTGGTCACTGACCTCCAGCGAGATGGTCACAGCCCTTTGTGGTGTGGCCCCCAGGAGACATTCGGCCTCATTTCCCACTCTACAAACCTAAAATCCAGCTAAGTCACGGATGACCTCATTGAGACATCACATGCTCAAGTCTGCCAGAGTGGCAAAATGGCCTGGGGTCTGGATGTGATCTACAGTTCAGCCTGGGTGATGTTTTCAAGATTTCCATATAAAAAATCTACTTCTGACTTCATAAAAATCAGACTATATCTACAAAGTGTCCACATTTTCTCCTAACTTCAGTTGGGGCTGAGCAGTCATGCCTGAGATGGAACATGCTATACATCATTGTCACCTGCCAGCCTTGAATTTGGGATCCTTGCTCTGTGACTTTGCTTATGTCACTCCCTCAATTTACAAGGCTCATGGCCTAACTGGATTTACCTAATGGTTTACCACCTCCTAGTATCCTCTCTAGGTTCAGTATCAGAGCTTCCAATTCATTGTAGTACTTTTTTCCCAAATCATGAAAACATCTAAATCACTATAACAAAATGGTAATACTTAAAAATATTTCTCTTTAACATGTTCCCACCAGCTTGAACCACTGATGGTACATGGACAATTCCTATGCCACCTGATGGGATGGGATAGTCATACACATACAGTACCAGTGATGGTTCAGAGCTGCTGGCAGTCATATGAAATTTCAGTCCCATCATGAACTTGTTAAAGGAATTTCACAATGAAATGTCTTCTTTTAAGCAGCCCTTCCTGATTTACCGAGAAGTTACATACCCATTTTCTGCTTTCCTTTTTAAACTATCTTGTTCTTTTAGGAGTGTTTGATGTTCATCATAAGCATTCAGAAGCCTGAGAAGAAAAAAAAATCCTCTGGAATAAACAAAAACCAAATTTTACTTTTTAAAGATTTTAAGTTGTTTCTATTCAGAGAAACTAAATGTGTAAATTTCTAAGCGGCTCATTTTTCACTTTTTAAAAATTTCAACTAAAACAATCTTAGTTCTGATATTGAAACTCTCCATACCTGTAACTGCAAGGGCCTTAATGACACTTTTGTGTTAAAGTTCCAATTTGTCTGCCTATTACTATCAATCTATGTCATTTAATTTTGATGGTCCAAATTACAACACCCAACTACTATAATGAGCTACATGTGCTCTGAATTTTCAAGGTACAGCAATGAAGATGGGGATATAGCTTAATGGTCGAGTACTGCCCTAGGAGCACATACCAAAAAAAAAATTGTTTTTTTATATTTCCACTACCTCACAAAACCCTCCAAGCAAATACAACTTTTATTTGGACTTTAATCTGCTTCCATTATTTCATCCTCTCCTCAGTTTATCAGAATCCAGCAGTCACTAAATGAGGCTCCACCTCCACTTTGAAACATGACAAATCTAAACCCAGCATGGTAGCACACACCCATGATCCTACTCTGGCAGGCTGAGGCAGGATTTAAATTGGAACCCAGCCTGGGCAAGACCCCGTCCACAAAAATTTTTTTTAAGGGCCGAGTGTGCAGCTCAGTACAAAGGCCCTGGGTTCAATCTCCACTACTATAAAAAAGAAAAACATGACAAATCCATTCACTTCTTAACAAACACACATTTATATTACTTTCTCTTGAGAATCACACCATCCAACTAAAAGGTAAATTATGGATCTCAGTTCTGTATATGCCTTCTTCAGTACAAAATATACAAGACATTAAATACAGAGCATATGAGGTAGTTTAAGAGTAGAGGCTTTGGGCTGGGGATGTAGCTCAGCAGAGCTGTGTCTGCCTGGCAAGCATAAGGTCCTGAGCTTGATCCCTGATAAAAAAAAAAACAGAGCCTTTGAAGTAGGTTCACCTGCCCAGTCCCACAAATTGCCTAATCTCTCTTTTTAAAGACTTCTCTTTCAACTATTAAAAGAACAGAACCTTGCTGGGGACTTAGCTCAGTGGTTCTGCCACCTGCCTAGCAAGCACAAGGTCCCAAGTTCAATCCCAGGTACCAAAAAAAAAAAGAACAGAGACTCTACTTACTATACTGCTATAAATTTTACATTAGAAGATTATAAAATATTTAGCATGATGCCAAGCATTTAAATATTAGTTCTTGAATTAGTTTAACTGAAATTTTACAGTCATCAAAAATATATACACAGAAGCAAAAGAAACTTTCAGTTGCAATGGAAATCACTCCAAATTATAGGCACATGCTAAACAGGCTCTGGGGATATTTCCTTACTACAGTAAGACTAGCACTTCAGCAATACGCTAGCCAGAATTTCTACTCATCTGCTTACTGGCAAATTTTAATTCTTAAACTTGTCCTTCCACCAAATCTAGAGCAAATCCTTCTATCACACTTCATTGTTCAGACTTATAACAATGCACAGAAATGAGGCCAATTAAACATGAAACTTCTATGAGACCACATCTACCCTTTCTCCAGACTGATAAAATAGCATTCCTATTCCATATTAACCCCATCTATGTATGAGCTCTAAACTGAATGTTTACATGTTCCATGGTATAATCTTTGTCTCATTTCCTGTTTCACCATATTGTTGCTTCCTGCCTTCTCTCATTCACTCACAGTTTATTCTAAAATCAGGGCAAATTTTGAAGGAAACACAAACCATACGTTATCCTGTTAGGCACATAAACATTTACAAAACTCAACATCCTCTCATATATCTGAGGAAAAAGTAACCTAAGCAAACACCGTTAAACTTAACAGTTTATGAATCTAATCATCAAATTCCCATTCAAAGAAATCAATTCTCATCATTCAAACAGACAATATAATTAAGGCCTTACTTATTAACATCTGATCCAAAATCTTCAAGAAATTCCACTTTTCTCTGAGAAAATGTAATTCTCATTTTAATAGGTAATGAACCATGTATAGCTTTGTCAAAACAATTTAGTATATTTTCTTCATTTTGTTTGAGGTCACCACTATATTCCATTTCAAGTAAATTGAGGTATAACTTTGTGTTCTCCTGTGTAAAAAGTAGTAATAAATTTTCTAAAATATTTCGATTACAGCACAGGTATATTAAATGCCTTTTTATGTCTCAATTCAAAAACATTCAATAGTAAAATACATCTCATGTTAAATGTTTTCAGCATACATCTAAAGGGATAAATAATTCTTCGCCCTATTTGGTAGGTAAGGATATTATCCCAGTAT